GCTCCTGTGTCAGCACAGGTGCCTTTGTTTGAGGCCAGGGGCTGTTTGCTTCCAGGCTACGTGGCCCTTTTAACCTCGAAGATGAGGCCTGTGATGTAAGGGCTTCACAGCCTGGTCTCAGAGGGTGAGGGGGCAGCCTCCGTGCCGCAGAAAGACATCCTCCATCGCCCTGTAATCGGTGTCCCCGTGCATGAGAGAAAGCATGCTGGGACTGGGAGAACTGCTGTAGGCAAAGCTGGGGACTGTGGGCTGCCTTGGAATTCGTGGAGGGAAACTAGGTCCTGTGGGTGAAATAGTTCCTGGAGAGTCTGTATGGGTGTGGAAACAGTGAGAGCAATATGGTGGAAGAACTGAACCCGGAGAAGATGGAGGTGGAAGGGGAATGAAAGCAGGAGGAAAATGAGAGGGTTTGGATGATTCTGGGAGGAAGAGGGCTGAAACCATATTTGAGAATCAGTTAAGGGTTTAAGAGGGTATCAGAAAATGTAACAGAAAACCAGGAATGGAATCAGGATGAGAACAGCTGTAACTTGTTCTTGGTTACAGGAATGACCATGAAGGCTTGCAATTGTGATAGAACCATAAAATTGTTTTGGCTGTAAGGGGCCTTAAAGATCATCTTTAGGTTCCAACCTCCCTGCCATGGGCAGGGACTTTCTACTAGACGAGATTGCTCAGAACCCCATCCAGGCCTGGTCTTGAACAACTCCAGAGTCCACAACCTCACCAGGCAACCTGTGCCAGTGCCTCACCAACCTTACTGTAAATTTCCTAATCTCTGATCTAAATCTACCCTTAATCATTTTAGGGCCATTCCCCTTTGTTCTACCACTACGTGCCTTGTGAAAGTTCCTCTCCATCTTTCTTGTCAGCCCCCTTTAAAGGACATTAAGCCTCAGTTAATGAAGAAGGGACCAGGCAGTCCCTGGGAGGTGCTGGAGGATTAAATGCAAAAGCTAGAAGAAGAAGCTTAAAGCAAAGGGAGGGAGAGCTGAAAGTGGAGCCAGGACCCCTCCAATATCCATACCAATCAACTAGTTTGACTGTCAGTGCCCTTGCTTTCCCTGGTTGTCCTACATTGTTAAAGAAAGTGTGGAGGGCCCCCCTGTAATTAGGGATGTAAGTAGACTCTAGGTGGAAAACATTTCTGTCCTTTTCTTCTGGTGATGGGGCCTGGCTCCCCAGTCAGCCAGCTGTGTGCCAATGGGAGCTGCATCTGTACTCCCTTGCAACCAGAACAGGCTTACAGGTCTTCAGGGGACCTTCTGTCCACTTCCTCAGCTGCTGTGCCTGCTGTGCAGAGCACAAGTTTTTATAGCAAAGAATGTGTGCTGAGGTAGGACTCCAGCCCACACTAGCATGCACTGAAGCTTTTGCTGTCCCTAAACCCAGAAATCACAGTGAGATGAATCTGATTCTAAGGCTTGAACTCAGGAGAGGAATGTGGGAACTTCAATTTGTGTATTTGGAGAAGAGATGGCATGTGCTATTGCAGCAGCTATTCCAACATCCTGCTAGATGCATATCTGAAAGGAGGGAAAGGTCCATACGAAATGCTGAAGGAGCAAATACTGTGGTCTACAACACGAGTGAACATTACGAATGACATTGGACTGTAGTACAGGAGAAGCTTCATTTGAGAACAACTAATGCAAAATCTGTGAGGTAATGCTGGGAAATGAGGTTTGCCAAGTATTAAGGGATTGGGCTCGCAGACTCATTGTAGCTGTTTGGTCTTCAAAGGAAAGAGTTCCTGTGCTTTAGTAGCTCTGCGTGGGCTTCTGTGTAAATCTCTTGACCTAACATGCCGTGGCCCAAAGTGTGAACTGCTGCTGACCTCCATCATCATCCGCTCCAACTTTTGCCAAGTTGGGAATTTTGTCGAAGTGCGATGAAAGGTTCTGGTTAATTGTAGCCCTGGCACGGCTCTGAAGGCACATGAGCTATAGTAGGTGAGTGAAAATTGCTTGTCACCATCGCAAACAGGAACTGACATTGTGACATCTGTTGAGCTGCCTCCAGAGAAGCACATGAGGACAGGGACGAAGCAGCACAGTGCATAACAGAGGCTCCTCTTGATGCCTTCTGCACCTCACACTGAGGCTGTAGTTCTGTGTGGCCTCTCAGACAATGTTGCTGAGCGTAGCTTGACCAGACCACAGGGGTGTATTTCCACAGAGGTATCTGTCTCTCTGTTTGTTTTTCACCTTTCTGTCCCAGAAGCAACCAGATTTTGGGAGCTGACATCCTATGACCTCTCATGTTCTCTCTCCTCCTGCATCTGTCCCTGTGACCTGCAGTGGATATCAAAGCTCACCTGAGCTTTGATACAGGCTATTCATTCAGGAGTTGGACTCAGTGATTCTTGTGGGTCCCTTCCAGCTCAGAATATCTGTCATTCTGTGATTCTGTGGCTTTGGTGGGCCAAAGCTGAGTTAAGACAATGGCCCTTGGAGAGTGAAGGAGCGTGGAACCTCCCTCTGCCTGTATTATGCATCTTTAGATGTTACAGGACTTTGACCTCGCCAAGAAAGAACTGCATCTTCTTTACCTGTTCTGCATGAGTGGACTTGAATCAGAGCAATCTCTGTGTAAGTACCAGCCTTGGCAGTGCAGAGTTTCAGAAAAACATGCAGGATAAGGGCTCCAGCTCCTAGCAGAAGAGCTTACTAACTACTGTGGATGAAATTATCACAGCTGGAAAAACCAAAAGCAGGAGGTGGCATACTCACTCACTATTTCCCTGTGCTGGACAAAACTCCACAGTGCCATCTCTTTGTTGCAGGGGCATTTGGTGGCCTCTTTGACTATAGAAACACCTTGAGCTCCATTGCCTAGTTCTGAATTTCTCTGTTACAGAGCAACACATGGTAAACAACGAAACATACTTTTTCTCTCCAGACCCTTGAAGAAACCCACTTCCTATTTTGAGGAACAAGCTCGGGCCTCAGGCTTGGACAGGTGGCAACTTTCCAGCTTCTGTGCTCTCACACACTTGTGCTAGAAGTGGAGTTCTTGTTCAGGATAGGAGTACAGTGCAGCCCACGTGCTTGGTTTTCAGCAAGGAATGGTTTTACTCGGTCTAATGGAAATGCGTCAGAATACTTAAAATCCTGGCTTGCGTAGACACATACACTGTACACAAAATGCTGTGCTCTGGCTTGTGCCATGACTCTCCTAATGATGTCATGTGTAGAGGAACAGGAGGGATGCAAATTTACCTGAAGCTGGCTTACAAAATGTATCATCTCTTTAATTACACTGTTTCCTGGTACAGTGTTTCATCACCACCACCCCCATCTGGGAGGCAGTGAGGAACTGAGAACTGCTATTGCTGGAAATACACAGCTGGGATTTGTTTAGCAGCAGTTTAGCATCCCATAATCAAACTAATGCTCATGCCTTAGTGATGCTAGTAGCATCTAAACAGTTACATTAGCATTAAACATTTAAATTCCTATCCCAGTCTGCTGAAAGTCTGGGAAGTGATCTGGAATACCCTCCGTGTTGTCTAAGAGTACAATTTCCTTCAGCACCCAGCATCGTCATCCACCTGACTGAAGAAGCTGAGCAAATACCAAATCCACCCTCTGCCAGACCTTTGACTGATGTCACGTGTGTGTCTGAGCCCAGTGTGGTGATGTGAACTTTGAGTTGAATGCAGCAGACAGCAGTATGTCAGCTCCTTCCAGAGAAGACTGATGCTAGGCATCCTTGCAAGGACACTGATAATGCATTCAAAACTTCTCTTTTACTACCATTTACTCATTGCGTCCCTACTAGGAGAAAAGCCTAGCTAAACAACGATTTGCACATGGCTGTTCTCACGCAGTGACACTAGGAAGAAAAGAAGTCCATCTCCCCTTCTGCTCCTGTCTAATGTGGTAGTTTTTATGGTCCCTAGTGCATAAGAAAAGTACTAGAACACTGGAAATAACAAGTAGAGTGTAGGGACACACCTTCCTCTGAGGTTACCTGAGCCCTTTTTCAGTTACACATTAATGCTGCAGATGATCCTGTCTGCAGGATGCAGACTGGGAAGAGGAAGCTTGTGATGGTGGGGAGGAGTACCTGGAAAGCAACAGTGGCTGGAGTTCTTCTGTAGAAAGCTATAGCTGAAGTTTTTATTCACCTTTCTGCAAACTTTATTATCTTCAGTATTCAGCAGCAAGATCATCTTCTAACACCGTAGTAGCTTAACATCCACATTATTGAAACTTGTTCTCAGGTTAGGCCAATCTTTTTGAAAAGCACCAGGAGGCGTCTTTGCAAAAAATCTACAGAAACATCCTTAAATTTGGGTTTAAATTTCTTTCTTGTGTGCGTGATCTCAGGACCTGAATTTAGAATCAAGTCTTGTCATTCTTATAAGAAACCAGAAGCAGACAGGAACTGTGAAACCAGTGCCTAAAACAAGGTTTAGGGAGATATTTTCAGATATGGCATTGGAAGAAAAATATGGAGAGTTATTAAAGTACTACTTTTGTGTGTACCTTCCATCCTACATGTCCTGATACATTGAATAATGCAAATTTCTAGGCCCTTTTTTATCAGTTGAGTTTATAGAGGAAAGCATGGAATAATGTGTCTCTCTTGGCTGACACATAACAAAGTTGTTCTTGCAAGATGTCCAGGAGTTACCAGTGGAACTGTAAATAGCAGTCTGAGTTTAAGAGGCTCTTAGTTGCAGAGAGGAGGCAGCAGCCTCTATTTTGTTTATGCTAGTATAGAAGCATTGCTTGTGTTTTACATCAGGTAAGTGCATGCATCGGGGCCAACATGTTCAACGTAGCGACAGAAAAAGGTACTGGCCTCTGCTTTTGGCAGCCTCCAGCATCAGGTCCAGGGGATTGGGGATGAGGCAGTGAAATGGATGGGGTGCTCTGGGCTGAGTAAGTAACTGCAGACACTGGAGGTTTGAATTTTTATCACCAGCCTTAAAATCCTAATTTCAAGGAGAGACTAAGATAGTGAGCATCCTCGCAACTCAGTTTGAGGAGATGCTGAATTTCTGTTCTGGAGGTTTCTGTGCTTACGCGTGTTCGGTCTCTACTCTGCAGCTGTGGCTGACGTTCGCTCCTGTGGCTGATAAGACAGCTGCCTACTTCCACATTTCCCTGGAGACAGTCAACTGGCTCTCAATAGTGTACCTCCTCATCTCCATCCCGTTTGGTCTGGTGGCAACGTGGGTTCTCGACAGCGTGGGGCTCCGGTGTGCTGTGAGTTGAAGTGTTCTGTTTCCCTGAGGAGGTTTCACCTAGAGGCAGCAGATGCAGAAAGCACTAACGTGCATGCTTTAGATGGGAGCCTTGCCAAATGCTGCAGAGGATGAGCATGTTGAAAGCTGTTTCAGTAACAGCTGTCACATCACCTCTGAGGTGAAGAACAGTGGGAAAAGTCAGAATAAGGTTGCACCCCTACTTTCCTTTAGTTTTTGTTATCTTAGCCAAATGACAGGGATAGATGCTGTGAGCTGACTCTGTGAAGACAGAGCTGTAATTGGGTAGGATTTGCTGTGGAAAAGTATTAGCATAGCTATTTCATTTGCAGGATGAGTTTAAGGAGCAGCAGGACAGGATGCAAGCAAGAGACCCCTGTCAGCTCGGAGCTTGGTCTCTGCTAAGCCAGCTTGGGATCTCTACACAGTCTTCCCAAAACTGTGTTGTGGAATGTGGCACTGAAACACTAGCATGCTAGTGGTATAGAAGAGCATTTGCAGGATCCATATGCTGGATGATTCATTGCCATGATCTTTGGATTGTCACAGCAAAATATGGGTGATGGCACAAACTTGCCAATAGGGTGTAATTAGTGAACTTTATTTCTCATCCATTCCATGCCAGTGTCTGCTCCCTTGCACAAGCTACACTGTGGCGTGGTTCTCATGCAGGGCCAAGACAACCACATTGCTCCCTAAGGAGACAAGTTGGATGAGGAGCATCTTGCAGTGGCCCAATGGGGTGGGGATGATCTGCAGGCATGTATTAATAGCACCCAGTGTCTTCTGTGGTACATATGAGACTCTGCTCATGCTAATCTATTTTGTTAAGTTCTACCCTTCACACTTCAGCACACAAGCCCTGTTTCTGCTTGCTGCAGGTGATCCTGAGTGCATGGCTGAACATGATGGGTAGCATCACCCGGATGTTCAGCGTCCTGAAGTTCCTGAGCTTGGGTTCCCGGAGTTACTGGTACCTGTTTATTGGGCAATGCCTCTGTGCACTGGCGCAGCCTCTTATCATCTTTTCACCAACAAAGCTGGCAGCACTGTGGTTCCCAGACCACCAGAGAGCGACAGCAAATATGATTGCATCAATGGGTAAGTGACAGCTCCGAAGCAGTATTGCTGTCTCCCAGAACTTGCTAGCATTTTTTTGCTTTTCAGAGGCAGCAGCCAGAGGAAATGTTCTGTACTGCAGCCATTTGCCCTTGCAAATGCAGCTCCACCCAAGAGTCTTGTAGCCACGTGCAACAAAACACAGGAGCAAGAAGTGGGTCTAAGCCACATCTAGGTGCTATGTTCAGAGCAAGCCACCCAGGCTTCTAACCTTCTTCCTCTCTGCCATGAAGAGATTATCATCTTTGCCTAAATATCATAGAAGTTAGGGACAGCCCTTAATGTTACTAAGTACGAAGTCTTCAGTGGCCTTAATTTTGCAGCTTCTTAGGAAGGTGTCCAAATTGCATGTAGTGCCAATGGTCACAGTTGCCAAATTCTGTAACTGGATAGAGTTGGGGCTGCTGTGGCAGTGATGTCCACGAGTTCATCCAGTAGCAAGACTGAGCATGTATTCCTAATTGGTGTGTATGTATACACAAATAAAATACCCTCAGCTGGCCACACAAACATGTTGGGGATGCTAAATGGTGGGACTACCCACACAGAAACCACACCTGCCTTGCTAAGTGCCCGGAAGGTGGGAAACTGGAGGAGAGGCACCAGAAAAGCTTGCTCTAATCTTGTTCCTCTCTTGGCTCCTTTGGGCCCAGATAGAGACAGGATACTGCACTTGACAGACCTGTTTCCTCCCTTCATGTGGCTTTTTACCCAGCAGCCAAAGAAATCCCTTCCTCTTTTCTCCAAGGACCTGAGGAACGCTTCAGAAACTGGGCTGGCTTGCTGGCTCCAGCTGGGAAATCTCACAGTGCCTACTTGTGTGTTGGAGCCCCGTATGTCCTTCTGTCAAAACAGCCAACAGCTGCTTTCCCTCCCCGTTGTGTTGGAGTTGTGAAGAAGGGATAGGCATGGGCAAAAGGGCAGTACAGAAGCACCTCTATACAGCTTTCTGCAAGCCTAGAGCATGGGCTCTCTTGTTTACCAAGAATGGATTTATGGTGTCGGAACAAATAAAATCTTTTTGCGCTGCCTTTCCTAGAATAGGGTGGACTTGATGACTCACCTTGTTTCCCAGTGCTGAGACAGACCTTCATCTTCCCTGCTGGAGAAGGAGCTCTTTTGTCAGTGTGGCACCATACAATACCACCAAGGACCACTGGGCACTGAAATAAAGTTCATAGCCCTGAAGGACCCCAGCCTGCAGACAACTTGCCCTTTTTAAGTAAGAGAGCAGACAGAGCAGCCAAAGAGCATTTCTTTCACATAGCTCCTTAGTCTTTTCAGGACCAAACGGATCTAACTATGGTAAGAATAAAACTGAAGAGCAAGAAACCGTAGATTCCTAAAACCTGAAGCTGTTTAGTCTCTGCCACTGTGGGACATCAGAGTGTGGATGGAATGGGCTGTGATTATTTTCTGCAGCAACACCTGCAGATTGCTGCACAGAGGGCTTCCATTTATAATGCCTGATTACACCCATAATGTCTGCTGTATGAAATCAGGATTTCATTTCAAGAAAATTTAAATATTGCCTAGAACGAGGATCTACCACAGCCCCAGTTATTTATTCCTGTGGTTAATTACATCACTGGCAAATGTCAGCCTGTTACTTCTCATCTCGATGCTCCTTATCCCCCAGCTATTCAGTCTTGTTGCACCTGTTTGTCAGGTAGTTATGGACAGAATCACCTCTTCTCTCTTTTGTCTAGGAAAAAGTAACTTTACAGCCTCATTTCCCTTTGCTTCTTCCCACTTGTCTCCATGTCTTCCTGTTGCTCACTTGAGCTTTATCTCTCATCGTGCTCCAAATTATCAATACCCATTTCCTGTGTAATTGCCAGAGCAGCACTCAGCACTCCAGTATGTTTGGTATCAGTGCTGCACACAGAAACTGACCCTACAGCCTCTTGCTATTAGTGGGTAGTCTTCCCCAGGCTTTTGTGACAAATATGGACCTTGCACCCAGGATCCTGCTGAGCAGCTGAAATCACTATGACTCAGCTGTCAGAGTGATTAATGACTCAGCTCTGGAGTGTTTATTTTATTCTGGTCCTACCCATCACTTCTAGAGACTTACTCATAGAGAAGCAGTGCCAGATCTCCTGTGAACACCATGAGAAATTCTCCTGTGTCAGAAGTAGACAGTCTTGTCTGATTCCACTGAAGTGACCCCTGCTTCATCCATAGGATTCTTCATTTACTGTGGTCTGCACCCTGAGGAGTTTCAGTGCATCAGCATCACTGACCACAAAACACATAGGTCCATTGCAGAGTACTGCAACCTAATCCATCAGGACTCTTGGACCATAATGTACAGTTGATTAACTGCAGTGATCTCCTTTCCATTCACAGAAGGTTTAGGCTCATAAAATTTCTCTTCCCAGGAAAAGAAGGCAGCTGAAACCTTGTAATTACTCAAGTAGTCTCAGTGTTTTAAATTGAAATTAAAATTTAAAATTTAAATTAAAATTTAGCCCACTGCTCACATTTCCAACCCTCAGCCATACCTTCTGGAACTGCTTCAACATGTCTATAGTTCATGAAAACAGCTGACTACTTTGCAGGCTGCAACCTGCAAATGTTCTCAACAATGCCCAGTTGCATTTTACCCCAACAGAGAAGATTTAATCCCTCTCCTTGGAAACTGTTGTTTAATTGAGTCCATGTACTTAGAAGCAGGTAACATTTCACCAGCATCATAAGCTAGTACTTTCTCAAGTACAGAGCAGAAAGACTACAGCTATAGCACTATTAATGACACCTCAGCAGAACCGTGGAACAGATAAGGTTGGAAGGCATCTCTTGGGATCATCTCGTCCAATGCCCTGCTCAGTCAGGCCTGGCTAGACCAGGTTGCCCAGGTTTATCTCTGTTCAGGGTTTTGACTGTCTGCAAGGATGAAGGTATTGCAGCTTATCTGAGCATCTTGTTTCAGTGCTAAACCACTATCACAGTAAAGAAGTTTATGTTTGGGTAGAAATTCCTGTGTTATGCTTTGTGTGAGAAAAGCCTGGTTCCATCTTTGTAATTGCTGATCAAGGTTCTTTTCTCCAGACTAAACAGTCCCAGCTGTCTCAGCCTCCTTAGGTATGAGAGATGTTCCACTCCTTTAATCATGTCTTTGGCCCTTGTCTGGACTTGCTCCATTAATTGGTATCTCGTATCGAGGAACCCAGCACTGGACTCAGCCCTCTCTATATTTCTCACCAGGTCTTAGTAGAGGGTAAAGATCTTTCAGCTACTGGAAATACTCTTCCTAATGCAGCCCAGCATGCTCTTGGACACCTTTCTTCAAGGGTGCATTGCTGGCTTGTGGTCAACTTGCAATCCATCTGGACCCCGTGTCCTTCTCTGCAAAACTGCTTTCCAGTAGCTTCTCCAGGCTGGTCAGTCCTAGCTCTCTTAATGTCTCCTCCCATGACAGAAGCTCCAGTCCCTTAATCATGTTTTCTGTTTTCTGGACCGGTAAGTTCCTGTCTCCCTCACACTGGGGGCCCCAGAACTGGACACAATAATCCAGATGTGGACTCACAGGTGCTGAGTAGAGGGGAGGGAGCACCTCCCACTGACAACACCCTGCCTAGTGCAGACCCCGGGCTGCTGGTGGCCTCTTTATCAGGAGGTTGTGTTGCTGCCTCATGGTCAAGTTGATGTCCACCCGTCCCTCTGGTCCTTCTCTGCAGAGCTGCTTTCCTGTTGGTGAGCCTCAAGGGGCACTGGTGGATGGGGGGGGGGGTGTCATCATTCTTCCCCAGGTGCAGCACATTACATTTCCTCTAGCAGAGCTTCACAAGATTCCCCTTCACCCATTTCTTCAGTCTGTTGCAGTGCCTCTGAATGGCAGCATGGCCACCTCTTCTATCAGCCACTCCTCCCAGGTTCACATCATCTGCAGACTGGCTGTGGGTGCAGTCTGTCCTGTCATCCAGGTTAAACTGTTTTGGCCCCAGTATCAGCCCCTGGGGTGCATCACTAGTGACTGGCATCCAGCTGGTCTTCCTGTCAGTGAATACAATCCTCTGGGCCTGGCCATTCAGTTGGCTTTCAGTTCATCTCACTGTCCAGTAGTCTAGCCAGTACTCTGTCAGTTTTTTTGCAAGATTGTTATGGGGACAGTGTCAGCTGCCCTTTACTCATCCATCCAGCCAGTCATTTTACTGTATAAAAGCTACTAGATTAGTTAGGCATTTTTCCTTTTCACTTTATTGTCCTTCCTGTGCCTGGAAATGGTGGAGAACATTAGTTGTTTCATGACCTTCCCAGGGATCAAAGTGAAACTGAAAGGCCTGGAAAGTTCCCTGGATTCTCCTTCTTGTCCTTCTTGAAGATGGGTGTGACATATGCTTTCTTCCAGTCTTCAGGAGCCTCTTGGAATTACCATGGCCTTTTAAAAGTAACCAAGAATGGCCTTACAATGCAAACAATCTGCTCCTTCAGTACTGATGCATCCCATCAGTCTCATGGATTTGTGTATGTCTGGGCTATACAATGTTCTCTAACCTAGTCCTCCTCCACTGAGGGTAAATCTTCATTACTCCTGACTTTACCTCTGGTCTCGGGGCTGAAGACCAGTCTTACCAACAACAAATGAAGTGAAGAAGGCATTGAATACCTTGGCATTTTCTGTGTGCTTTCTCACCAAGTCTCCCACCCCATCCAGCAACAGCACCACATTTTCCCTAACTTTATTTTTGCTGCTAAAGTCCTTGCAGATGCCCTCGTTGCCCTTCACCAGACTCAGTTCCAAGCTGGCTTTGGCTTTCCTAACCTCATCCCTCCACACTAGTAGAAAATCAACTCTACTTTGACTACTTGCAGAATGTTGCCTTAAAGTTCAAAAATCGTCTCCTGCAATTTTAGGTGTTTCCAAGCTAAGTCCCAGGAGTCCTGCTTCACATGCTGCTCAGCTCCAGCCCCATAACAATGCAACACCCTCTCGCAGTACAGTGTCTGAGATTCTCTGCTGCCATGTGATTTTTGTAGTTGATAGCAAAGATCAACTTGTTAAGCCTGTTTGGGCTTTACGGAGGAAGTATAAAGGCTTGAAAAGTGTCAGGAATGACCTAGTGTCACTTTAGAGAGCTGTCATTTGGCTTATCTGCTGTTCGTGCCCTTTTGACAAAGGAAACTAATGGCATCCTAGTGACTTTTAAAATGAGCATTGCCAGCAGGTTGGTCCCCTGTCCACATCTGATTCCTTCAATGTTAGAAGGGCATGGACATATTAGTGTAAGTGCAGTTAAGAGCCACTAAGACAGTTAAGGGAATGGAGCATCTGTGATGCCAGCTGAGGCTGAGCAAGCTGCCACTGTTCACCCTCCAGAAGCCTCAGGGGGTTCTTACACACAATAGTGTATTCCCCCTGATGACACGGGGGAACAAAGAATGGAAAACATCTCTGTTTGTAACTCCTGCCATATAACACCAGGACAGATGACACGGATTCGTCCACCTTAATTTTGTCCCTTTAGCTTGACATTTACCGAGGCAGGCTTCTGAAGGTGAGTACATCATAATTCACAGATGAAAAGCAGTCTAGAGGGGTTAGGAGTTGTAGGGAAATGGTTTTATAGGATGGACTTCATGGGGGTGAGAGAACAGATGTGGCAACAGTAAGACCAAACAGTCAGCTTCTCCAAATGTTCCCCTACTAGTTTCTCCCTGTATATGCCATGTTCTGTCCTTATTACTCTGCTGCACATGGCAGCTCTGGTGCTGGCAGGCAATAGGGGCAGACACATAATTCTGACTACCTGCATGAAAAAAAAATGTCTCTCTTTTATTTCCTTCCAGCCAATCCCTTAGGCATTCTTATAGCAAACTTGTTGTCACCTGCACTAGTTCCTGAAGGAAAGCACATTCCACTGATGGTAAATGAAATCTGCTTTTATTAGTTTTAGCTGGGCTAATTTGAGTCCAGCTGATTTATTTGTTTGGGGGCAGTGGACCTGGAAAGACTGGTAACTTGTCTTATCCTTTTGTCGTGTAGCTGGGTGTTTATGCTGTCCCAGCAGTAACTGCCTGTGCCCTGGCAACACTGGGGATTCACGAGAAGGTTCCTCCCACGCCTCCTTCAGCCAGTGCCACTAACTCCAACTCACAGCCATTCTTCACGGGGCTCAAAATGGTAAGTGCTATAGCACAGAGAGTGCCATGTGGAGTGAGGGATTCAGCCCTGCCAGACAGGAATATGCTGGGGAATTCGCTTACAAAGCAGACTCAGAATGCCACTTCCCCAAACCTGCATGGAAAGCCCCCTGAAGGAGATCAGGATCCCTTCCTTCCTCTGGGAGTGGAGGAGTGCAGCAAAGCTGCAAGAGATGCTATCTGAGCATTCAGCTGTGGGCTGGCTGTCATTCAGATACCTCAAACAGGCACACCAGGGCTCACCCAAGAGGACCACACAATTTGAGCCCCCTGAACAGATGTGGTAAGGGGTAGGACAGCACATGGCAACACGAAGGAAGAATTTGGGCACTGAAGAGATCTTTCCTCCCTACATGGTCCCCATTTTAACTTGTCCTCTCGCTGAACTGACAGGACAGAGCCCTACTTTGTCAGTAATCACAGGGTTTCCCTGTCAGCATTTTCACCTGCTCACCCTCAAGTCTACTGTCACAGCCAGGCCCTTTTCCCCCCTCCACTTATTTACATTAACTTCCTTTTTTAGCTCCTGAGAAACAAGCCATACATCATCCTGGCAGTGTGCTTTGGAGGAGGAATTGGGATGTTCACCTGCTTTTCAGCCCTGCTAGAACAGATCCTTTGTGAAAAGGGGTATTCAAATGTGAGTCTTCCTCCTTTTCTCCCCATTGTCCAAATCATCTATGATACAATCAAATTGATTTTCCCTGATAAGGAATTCAGAGCAAAATGAAGACAATTGAATATCCTGCAGTCTCATATCTTATTTGTTCATATTATCTAATATAGATTAAGCAGTACATTAATCCAGAGCACAGCCAACCTCTTAGCATAATGGATAACCTGCATTTTCATTACTGCCCATGACCAGGCTCCCATTTGCAAGTGAAAATTCTTTTAGGAAAAAAGAATGTTGCCATTTTCCTAAGCTCCTCCAGAGCATTGATGTCTGTGCAGCCTTCTGTCACCTATCCCAGAGTAGAATGGAGCCCAGGCAGGCCCTGAAGTGAAGCTGAAGGCAAGCAGCTTTTCCTCTTTGCACAGTCTTACACAAAGCCAGGGTAGCAGAGGAAGTCCCAGGTAGTGTGACAGCTGTTTCCCCATCCTTGCTATGACACTGCCCAGGTGCTGCTTTTATGGTTCAGCACAGTGTGTGCATAGCTGGCTCCTCCTGCTCTCTCCCTGTAATAGCAGGAGGATGTCCCAGTTCATGTATTTCCCCTCAGCAGGCTGCACTTCAGTCCTGCTGCTTGTATTGCCATGGAGGTCCTCTTAAAACACCTCTCCAGATGTTATGTATGCACATTGACATGTCTGGTCTCTGTCCACCCCCTCTTCAGCTCCCAGGTCTAATAATTGGCTCAGGGCTCCATAGCCAGGTCATGTTTGCAAACACCATTGGCTTTTCACTGGAAACCTTTTAAACTTTTCAGCCTTGCTTTCTGTCCCTCATGATGGTTTTGTCTGTGTGACTGGCTTGTCCCACCCCTTTAGCCCACAGAAACCATTCCATGTACCCTTTCCTTCTAGTCTGCCCCTGAGGCTCTCAAAAATGTTTACCCAAATTTGTTAAAAGCTGCTCTGCTTTCAGCATTGCTGTCTGCATTTGAATTCTTATGGAGCTGAAGAAGTAGTGCAAACAAAGGGTAATCACTGCAGGCAACAGAGCATGTACCCTATCTAGCTACTGCTCACTGCCTCTCTAATTAGGCTTTGACACAGCCAGGTGAGTGTCCCATCTAACACGTGTTGGGTGTGCCAGTGCAGGTCCCTGGTAGGAAAAGGGCCAGGAGGATGATTATAAACAGCAGCAGGTCCCAAGGCAGCTGGACCTGTTAGCTCCAGTGTGGACAAAGCACCCGATTGCCCCTGAAAGAGCCCAGTGGCTCCAGGCTGGAATTTTTAATGCCAGGAACTGCTGTTGCTCTGCACCCAGCCTCCCTTGACAAGTGTGCAGAGATTGGTCATCCCTTGGCAGTGCTGCCACCTTGCTGTCCCCACACACTGATAGAAGCACCTGGCCCCTGTTACTTGCTACTCAGCACCCTGTGAATGCCTCAACTACTTGCAGCGGGCAAGGACGCTTTTCCTACCTTAGTAAGTGATCCCCTGGCATTTGGCAAATGGGTCAGCGACATTAAAATCTCTTTTCTAGCTGCTCTAGTTTCTCATTACTTGTTCTTCTGCCCTCCAGAATTTTGCTGGCCTGACTGGTGCCCTGTTCACAGTGTGTGGTTTGTTGGGTGCTTTCCTACTAGGCATGTATGTTGACCGGACAAGGAAGTTCATAGAGTCCACCAAGATCTGTTTCTGTCTGAGTGCACTTGCCAGCATTGTGTTTGCAGTGGTGAGTTCTCCCTTGCATTACACCGTATCCGTGGGCTTATTTCTGTTGCCATCTGATAAATCATCAGCTTAAACCAAGGTCATTTGATGTCACATATTAAGCCATGTGTTACGCTTTGGAATTATCTCTCTGGGCTAGGAATGTTTTAAAGGAAAACCCTTTACTGAGAATTTCACAGTCACTGTGGAGCCCGAAAGAGACTGATTCAGGATATAAATAAATTGGCATAGTTTTGCTTCCCTACACTGGATCACCATGTTTGCTTCCTGACTCCCAAGGCCATTTTTTCAGAAAGGAAACGGAACTGCTAAATATCCATCTTACAAAAATGAACAAGAATGCCCTGTTTTCCCAACGCCTGCCTTTAACAGGGGTGGGTGTCGGGAGTGTAACATTAGCAGAAAGGACCTAGTTACGTGCCTTGTTCTTAAGTAGTTCCTTGAGGAGGACAAGACAAGAGAGGCAAAAAAGTAGAACACTTGGATTCAGCCAGGAGAGGAATGCAAAACCTGGAGACTTTATGCCCATGGGGCTAGAGTGCAAGTACTGCACTCAAGCATAACCATTGCCAGTGGGAGCCTTCATACAGCAAGAATCTGATCATGACACAGGGGACTCCTAGCACTGCAGAGGACCCAAAATGGTGCAGCTTTCTGCTTTCTCTGCAGGCTTATGCTGTGCATTTCTCTTGTGTGTTGAAAAAATCAAGACTTTCAGTACACTGTGATCCCACCTTCCCCTGCCCCAAGATCCCAGTGATGGTAGCTCCATTTGGAAGAGATAGACAAATGCAATGCCTTTGTCACTGTAGGCCAAGGTGCCTCAAGCAAGCCTTGCATTTTCAATCTCTTTAGTACTCTAGCATTTTTTTTGAGGATGATCTGTATACAAGTCAGATTGCCTGGACTCAGATAAAGCACTGAGTAGATAGGAGGCAGTGTTAGGAGTAACAAGCAAACCCTTCCCTCCTCCCCTTCCTTTCTTCACCTTCATTCCATACAGATGAACTGTTAGTTCAAAGTATTAGAACAAAAATAACCCATTCAAATCCGCTTCAAACTCAGATTTCAAACAGAGTTTTTCTTGACTTTACCAGTTTAGCTGGGCCAGGCCTGCAGCTATGCCAGGACAGACACCTCATGTTCCTCTGTGGGAATTTATTACATCAGTAAGGAAGGAGGTACCAGCAGTGTGGCTGCAAAGTACTTCATCTTTATCAGCATTGGCTGGACAAGGCCATGCTCTTTCCTCCAGAGTTAGGGACAAGGCTGTTCTAGACACTAAACTAATCTCCACGTTTTGTAGATGTTTTGTGGTTTTTTTGTTTGCTTTTTGGTTTGTGGATTTTTGGGGTATTTTTGTTTATGTTAAAAGCCCAGTTTTACAAACATGAGTCTGACTAATTTTCCTTATCACTGAGCTGCAGCAATCCAGTGAATTCTCACATGTAACCCAATGCAAACAGCTCCTCCAAAATGTTACTTTGCACTGGGAGAAAGGTGTGTGTTTCACTTGTGACTAGAGGTATACTGAACACATGCCTGGTAAGTTACTATATAGGATGTCAAGTTAAAGTAGTCCAACCACACCAATGCTTTTCAGGTAATTCTGCTGAATCCTCCCTCCCCTTGCTTCAATTCAACAAATAACTCTCCGCTGTGTAGCCATTAGTTGACTCTAGAGACCTGGAGGTAAAAAATTGATTTCAGGAACAGATAGGGAAGGTAGTGGTGAGACAGTGAGGCCTTGGAGCTTCCTGCAGGTTATGGGTTCAGAGACTTTCTGTGCAACAGTGCTGACACTGAGACTATTGTGTCTTTTTCCTGCAGGCTTCTCGGTTCAGACATCAGGCCGTCATGTTGGCCATCACCAGCTCACTCTTTGGCTTCTTCGGTTTTGCCATCTACCCCATTGCCATGGAGCTGGCTGTGGAGTGCTCCTACCCCGTGGGAGAGGGCACGTCTACAGGCCTGATTTTTGTTGCAAGGTAAGCAGGCAGCTTAAATCCAATTAAGAGCTGAGCTGGGGTTCAAACACACACATACACACACACAGGGGTGTGGGTGCAGGTAAGAGAAGAGAGCATGGACATCAGTGCTTGCCACCCTGCTGAACTTCTCTCTGGTGTTTGTGAACGTGACCATGGCAAGAGGGGAGCTGGTTGGCTGATCAATAGAGCTGAAGAGCTAAATGTTTTAAAGCAAGGAGGATTATGTGGAAGTGGTACAAGAAAAGCAAGAAGGAAGATGAAGTTCTCCCTTGCTTGGCATGAAGCGTGATTTAACCATGTCCAGCATCACCCACCTTTGGAGCACATGGGGGCTGTGTGCCTGAGAGACACACCCATTCCCATCACAGTACAGGCACTTGTCAGGTCTCAGTGCTCTGCTGAGAGAGATGGGGCTCATCAGCCCCAGGGCACCTGGTCACAACAGATGGGACTGACTGTCCTTCCAGTTATCAGTTTACCTGCCTAGGGCTTGCTCTGGAATTCAGCAGGAATGACTTGTTGGAGCTCTAATCAGTGATACAAATAACCTGGTGCCACCTTTTGTGTCAGGTGGAGCTCCAGCAGCAAGAAACATCAGTGAGTGAGGGGCATTAGACACTGCCTTTGAAGGCTATTGCCTCTCACTGGTTGTGGACTTTGTTGCTGCTGCCAGCCAGCTGTGAGTAAGGAGGAGGCTGAAGTCATAGCATGATTTTTTTCCATCCTCAGTCCTGGAGTGAGAGGTGTTTCCAAGTCTCTGCCCAGTGAATAAGCCTCAGCTCTTTGAGAGATGTAGTTCAACACCTGCTTGCCTTCAGAGGGAGTGTATAGTGATTCTGCCACACTGGCCCTGTGTCTGGAGGTGTGCAGAAAGGCTGACCTGGACACCCTGTGAGCCAGGGCCAGTTAACCAAGTGCCTGGGCCAGTGGAATCCAGCAGTAGCTTTCTCTGCTAGAAGGAACCTGCTCCAGAAAGAAGCCTCACTCCCTTCTGACTGGGGAAGCTGGGATTGTCTGCAGCACTGATAAGTCAGGCAGGTGCCATAACTGCATGTTGGCTTCTCCCCACAGCCAGGTTGAAGGTGTGATTTTGATGATTCTGCTACAAGCCCTCACTGTCCGTGTTTCTGAGGATCCCTTCTCCACCTGTGCCCTTGACCAGGATGGAGCCTTGGACTGGACAAGTAAGTACGTCCATGGGAAATGATGCCGGACATTCGGTTGCATCCTGTGTAGCCCCCACCCTCCTCCAGGTCTCACTGTGAGGGACCCTGCAATGCTGATTCCTGCTATAGTGTATTTCCTACCCACCTTTATGATGGTGCACTCCTTGCTACCAAGGAGTTCCTGCTAAACCAATCCTACAAGATTGAAAACAGGAAAACTCTAAGGTGCCATGAATGCCACTGCTGGCTCTGGGTTAAAATTACCCTTATGGTCACCCTGCAGAGACTGGAGCTTACCAAGCTAGAAAGCAGCTATTCTAAGAGGAAGACACAGTCCATGTAGCACAACTGCTTTGCAGTGTGGGAGGCCAAGAATACAACTGCATTGACTGAAAGTGACCTCTTGCTTTTGCACAAACACCTGCCTGTGTTTTTAACATACTGGTACAGCTTTGTTCTGACTTACTCCAGATTTCCCTTCCTTTCCTAGCTGGTCAAAAAAAGAGACAGCAACTGAGATGAGAGCACAAATGTGTTTTCATTGCAGGCTAAATCCTGGCCTTGATCTCTCAGCTGGTTCATATTTATGTAATATTGACCTCAAGTCCTGGGGACACTGTAAACAAAGGCTGATCATCATCTTTTAAATATATCCTGCTTGGCTGAGCAGAAACTCCCCAGAACAAGCTCCACTAGGTATCAGAGATCAAAGCTTCATAACAGGCACCCATTCCTACTCATTTTGTGATCTGATACATGCAGAAACATCTGTGGAGAAAGGCATGGAGGTGTGTGTTTGAAACACTGCTGGAATGAGAACTACTTTCAGGCCTTGTTCCATAGTCTGTTTTTTTTCTTCAGAAAAGTTTCTTTTGACACAAATTTTTCTTAGATAAGAGTTAGTGAACTTTTTCTACACCTGCTTTCAGATGATATAAAAAGAAGCACTACCTTTGAGGACCTGTTCTCTTATGAAACTCAAGTGTTTCGATTCAGTCTTTTTTGTAATGTTTTTCTGTGTACATTTACACAGAAACATGCACTCCCACAAACACACTGTGTGCACTGGTGTAAGGACTCTAACGTGTGGGGTCACGCAGGATTTGGAGTCCTAGAAACCTTCCACATTCCTCCCAAATACTCCTCCTATGCCAGTGTTAGGCGAAGCAAGGTTTGCCTGTTACCAGAGTGGCATTGCCCCCTGTGGTCTGCACCCTGTGCTCAGGGGTAGCCCTTGGGAGGCAGTCAGACAGACTGTGCAGTTTCTGGGAGCTGACCTCTAGGCTTCTGCACCCACGGGGAGTTGTGGATTCACTGCCTAAAAGTGTACCTTTCCTGCAGCTCCGGTGCTGGTGCTGGCTGGCCTCTGCAGTGCTATGGCTTGTTGCTACGTCATCTTCTTCCACACGGACTACAAGCGACTCCATGCTGAAACGATCGGTGGTGATTTGGTCAAGGCAGAAGATACAGCAACAGCAGATGTTCCTGAATCCTAAGCAGGCCAAAAAGGGGATGCTGAGGACCAAGGGCTTGGACCTGTGGGCATGGACCAATGCTCATCTGGCACACTGGGATATCTGTTGCACAACAAGCAAGACTAGAGCAAAGGGCACCTTTGCTGTGCACCCCTCAATCTTGCATTTATTTGGGGATCTGGGCTGAAAGAAATGCTGTCCTGACAGAAAGGTCAAAGTGGGACTGGACAACTATGCATGTAACTGAAATTTTTATCTGACTTGATTCAAGCTAAAGAAATGTTGCAGAGGAGGGGAGCATCATATTTCAGCCACTTTTTTGTTTTCATATACTTGGATCAAGGGTGAAGGTTTCAGAGGGATGGGAGCTGTGCCTACCACAAACCCAGTGGAAAACTTCTGTTTAAGGACTGTGGTTCTTGTGCAGCATAACAACTCTTCTACTCTGAGGTTGGATCTGATCGTGTCTCAGCTAAAAGACAGTAGGAGCCAGAGCATCCTTTCGTTTCAGCAGGGAAGTGAAAGTATGTGATCTGTAATACAAGTCTGTTACAATGAGCCACTTTGTCTTATCCTACAGACAGGAGAAGAAAAGCCTTGCCTGCAGTGGTGCCTGTAAAAGAAAATACCAGCAAGCAGCAGGAGTTAAATATGGCAACATTCCTCACCCATCTGGTTCCCTGCCAGGTGCTGAGACATTCAGGTTAAGCTTGTTTCACTTGGGCTTCTGTTTCTCCTCCTCTCCTGCAATTTCAGTGGTTCAAGTTTTCCACAAGAAGACAAACCTACCTGCTGGTGTAATATTAGGGTAGTGTGACACTGTCCTATGGAGGAAAACTGAGAGGGCAGCTCACTGTTAGGGCAATGACACAACAGGGCCTGCTGTGGTGAAAACTGGCAGAAGAACTGGCAAAGGTGACCTCTTAGAGAGTGCAGGGACTTGTCATAAGTTTCTACAGGTATTAGGGGCTCTGGAGGGAAGACCAAGTGAGAAACAACATCAACAAACACCTTCCAGTTCTCTCTGCAACTGACAAGTGTTCATCAGTGTTATAAGAGATGGGGAGTAACACAAAAGATCCCATTTGGAGTTCAGTTACGCTAGCAATTACTATGGGTAAAACTGGATTTTTCCTCTTACAGTACTTCCACTGCAGTCTGGTGTCCTGTTTTGGTGTTCAGGTCTACGTGTACAACCTGAGAAATTTTTTCCTTATAACATTTAGGTGGTAAAAAAATTTAGATAGTTGGGATTTCATAGTGCTTCATACCATGCGCATTGCAAAGGAATATCAGTACTTGCTGATTAAGGGATCTTGATGCAAATTGGATCTGTGACTAGCTTTGTTCAGTCCAGCTAAAGGATGATCCCAATGCCAAGGATGCACTTTCCCTGAGAAGCACTGTACAAAGGAGATGTCTCAGTGCCTGAATTCTCTTCCCCATTAGAAACTGGAAAGCTCTCCCTTTGTGAAACACCCATCTGCAATCTGCATCCTACTAGGGAGCCTGCTCGTTCCTACAGCTCCAGCCTTGATCTCACCAGTAAGCACTGATGTTTTCCAAAAGGAGAAGGAAGGAATTCTGAAACCGAAGTGAAACAAAATTGTTTAAACCTCTCAGAGGAATGAGATTAGCTGTCTTTTGCAAAACTAGCTGCACTCCTGCAACTAACAAGCCAAACACATCAACACCAAATTTACCTGCCACTTCTGAGTTCTACTGTACTGGGAAGCAAGAAGCACTTGGTACTTTATAATTTTATATATTTACAAATGTTTATGTTTTTTAATAAAGGGTGGTTTAAGAAAAGATTAAACTTTTCTCACTATATCAATCCCTAAAAAGTATGTTATAGATGCAAGGGTGCATCAGATCTGCTATGCAGCACAAGCTAAAAGCCTCTGTATCTGCCTGATGTGCAATAACTTGCGCTCAAACTGAGGATGTGTGAGGATCTTCAAAATGACAGTGTGAAATTAGCTCCATTTTGAATGATAGGTTAAGGGAGTAAAGAAATACTGCTAGCAAATGTCTCCAAAATCTATTGCCCTGGGCAGAGAGTCTTTGCACCAGCTAAGACACTTACCTTTATGGAAGCATATAAAAGAGATTTGAAAGGAGAGATTTTTCTCTCTACTAATCAGACATCAGACATTCAGGTGTGTGAGGCTATTTCAGAATTCCTAATGTGCACTGGAGCAACTTGCTCCTTTGCTATATGGTCTGTCATACCCTGACAGCATCCCATAAAGGCATTATGGCACTGCTAACAGTGAGACCAGGTAGCTCATGCAGATTCCTGCCTTGCACCATCAGCTGTTCCTGCTGGGCCAGCTAACTTCACATTTTATGTTTAGAACAAAAGAGGCTCAAATGTCTGGGCTAGTCTGTAATTACCACCATAGCAGAAATCAACTTTATTCTGTACAGTCCTCTCTTCAAGGCTGCACAACTCATCTGTCTCTCACGCCTCAGTTTTTGGTGTGTCTTTTCCTAGAAAGCCTATGGAAAATGTGAACCCGAAATCTTAGGAGAACAGAGGGATTTTGATTTTAAGGCATGGACCAGATGTGCTGGGGGGTTGGACCTGTGTCCTCTCCCTGCCAAAGAAGTGGTCTATCTGCCTTAAGCCTTCTGTGACCCCAATAACCCCAGCAGAGGCCTCTAGAACCTGTAGGGGTCACTGGAAAAGTGCAGAAAGCCTGCTGCAAAGGTGAATTGTCCTGGCTGTGGTCTGGTCTCACCAGAGCCCTTCTGTTTCTGTAAAGTCGAAGGAGAGGGACATAAAGGTCAACTAGTCCCATCACAGCAGTGGATCAAAGAGGATCCCTCTGAAACAGGTAGGGATGAACAATCTTGTTGTGCCTGAAGGGTCTGCACCATCTTCCCTGCTGCCTCCACCTAGACAGAACTGCTGTAGGGAGAGGCAGCAAACCTGCTTGAAAAATGTGTGTCCGCATGATGCACCTCCTGCAGCAGGTGGCTGAGCTGCATGGGGTGGTGAGAAGACTGCATAACATCAGGGAGACAGAGAAGGAGTTAGATAGCTGGTTGCAACTGCAGCCTGCAGTGGCCCCATAGCTGAAGTCAAACATCCAAAAATGGGGAAGAGTGACTGACATCATCTACCTGTTTGTGCAAAGCATTTGACACTGTCCCAGATGCCAACCTTGTATCCAAACCAGAGAGACATGGATCTGATGGATGGACCACTTGATGTATAAAGAATTGGCTGGACAGTCACACTCAAAGAGCTGCAGTTGATTGCTTGATGTTCACTTAGAAGCCAGTGATCAGTGGTGACCCTCAGGGGTTGGTGCTGGGACTGGTGCTGTTCAACATCTCTGTCAGTGACACAGACAGTGGCATTGAGGGCACCCTCAGCAAGTTTGCTGACACACCAAGCTGTGTGGGGCAGTGGAAATGCTGGAGGGAAGGGATTCCATCCAGAGGGACCTTGATAGGCCTGAGAGGTGGGCCAGTGCAAACCTCATGAAGTTCAACAAGGTCAAGTGCAACATCCTACACCTGGTCCCCAGCAATCCCAGCACACCCACAGGTTGGGTAGAGAAGTGACTGAGAGCAGCCCTGCAGAGAAGAACTTGGGGTGATGGTTGATGAAAAACTCAACATGAGCCAGAAATGTGCCCTGGCAGTCCAGAAAGCCAATGGAATCCTGGGCTGCACCAAAAGCAGAGTGGCCAGCAGGTCGAGGGAGGGAATTCTCCCCCTCTACTCAGCTCTTGTGAGACTACCCCTGAAGCACTGCTTCCAGCTTTGGGTTCCCCAGCTTAAGAATGACGTGTACCTGTTGGAGGGAGTCCAGAGGAAGGCCATCAGAAGGATGAGGAAAGTCTGAGAGAGTTGGGGCTGTTCAGCCTGGAGAAGAGAACATTCCAGGGAGACCTTAGACCACCATCCAGTACCTGAATGGAGCCTACAAGAGAGCTGGAGAGGGACTTCTTACAAGAGGGAATGACTTTAAACTGTAAGAGTGCAGGTTTAGAATAGATATTGGGTAGAAATTCCTTATTGTGAGGGTGGTGAGGCACTGGAATAGGTTGCATAGAGAATCTGTGGGTGCCCTGGAAGTATTCAAAGCCAAGTTTGATGGGGCTCTGAGTAACCTGGTCCCTTTGAAGGTGTCCCTGACCATGGTAGGGGATATGGGCAGGAGCATTGGAATTAGATGATCTTTAAGGTCTTTTCTAAACCAAACGATTCAATGATTCTTGCCATCCAGCACGCAGTGGATGCCCAGACAATACTTCCGTTGGAAGAAAGGTTGTTCCTCTTGCACAGCAGCTAGTTTTGAAGCCCCTGGAGCAGCACAATCCAAGAGCTTTCTGCAGGACACTTACACCATTTGACCCTAGAGCAACTCTGCTTGATAACACAAGGGTGTTGGCTTCCTGCATCCCCTTAGAACAGCCAGCTCTCTCTGCTCTCCTTCTGTAGCCTCCCCCAGGGACTGCATGGGGCTGGCTCAAGTTCACGTGAGCCTGGGGGTGAGGTACGCTGCCTTCTGAAGACCAAGCAGTTCCTGTGCACCGTGTCTGGGTAGACTTGGCTGTTGGTGCTAGGACGGCAAAAGAGGCAGGACAAGGCCTGCTGTTGTACTGGAGAAAAGCAGCCCCAAGGATGCTCCTATGGGTACATCCACCTCATTAGAGACCTGCAGAGAGACTCAGGTGAGGTCCTTTGTTCTGCAATAGGATGAGTTGCCAGTGTCCAGTACTCCTCCCATGCTGCACCTCTCATAGAGGGACAGCGGACATGCCAGCAAATTCCACATTACCTCTACAGCTATTTACATACCAACACAGAAAGGTCTGCTTCTACAGGATTGGATCACCCTGGCTGGAGTTAGGATGGAGGCTGCCTACAGTGTAAACTACCCCAAAACCAACAAAAGTAACATTGGTGCTCTCTTTTTAAGTAAGTAGAAGCAACTAGTGCTTTAAAACTCCCTAAGGAATTCTTATCACACGTTTAAAACAAGTGGTCCTTCTCACAGCTGCAGTATTTTTACATTTGTGCCTGCTTTGCAGGTAGTTCCCTCAATAATTTTGACTTGAGTCAGGTGGTGGATTGGGATGGAAGAAAATACATCCTGGAACCATGTGATGCAGAACCATGTGATGCAGAACCAGATCAAAACTAGCTTTCTTGTGAGGCTTCATGGAAAAGGAGTCCAGAAGGATAAGAGGAGAAATATTAACTAGCTGAAATATCTATTATAGTACTTTCTGTCTAGATATGTTTCCCTCATGTACACCTTCTGTGATGCTACATCAGGAACTTTAGGCTTTATTAACATATGATGGATTTAGGCATTATTTAGTTTGCTACATTATGCTCTTTTAATAGAAGAGAGTAATTTAATCAAGTGTATCACCCTGGAAAGAGAGGCAATAACAAAGCATGCCTGGAGGAAGAAACTGCAGAGTCTTGGCTCTGCTTCCTCCTCTCCATTCTGCCTTATCACTTTGTTTAAAAAGTGACTCTCTCTACTTTCTGCTCCCCACAAAAATCACCTCTCCCTGCTCCCTGCTTGAAAGCTACTCTTTTGAGCTAAAAATTCCCTTTGGAACTTTTGGTGTGCTTCCTTGTACGGAGAAATCTAGGTAGACCCACTTTCAATCAGCAAAGTTCCACTTTACTACTACTACCACCTAGTACCACCACTAATGCTCCCCACTTTTCAAAATATTTTCTCTTTCTTTTTCTTTTCTTCTTTCTTCTTCCATTTCTTACTGAATCCAGGCAGTATGAATCACTGTCAAGGAACAATGGCATTGGCAAAGGCATGGTGACAGACCTACTGCTGGGGATGGCCCTGCTGTGAGAAGGAGACTGGACTGAAAATGCCCTGTCAGAAACACATCTGTGAGTCCACACTCAGTTGAAGAAGATAAACGTGTGGTTAACTCACCGTGAGTCTGTACCTCAAATCCCCTCTCGTAACTCAAGCACCGTGGGACTCAGACTTCTAGGATCTCTCTTTACAGCTTCCAAATGATGCCATGAGGTTCCAGTGGCTGACATACCACGTGGTCTGTGGAGGATATCTGGTTGCACCTTCCCCACCATGAGGTATGAAACTTTCTAGAACATCTTTAGATTGGTTGGAGTTGAGTTTTGGGTCTATAGTTGCATCCTTCAAGAGTCCTCATGCGTCACACCGTCCATGGCATCTCGAGGTTCACATTGTAACACAGTTAGGGAATTGTATAACCAAAGCAAAAGTTTGAGTTACCCATGAATTATAAATGCACTGAGCAGGATGTAACTAATATCATCGTTTCTTAAACACATGTATAAGCATACTCAACTACTGTACTGCAAACAGTATCCAGTAACTTTGTAATACTGTGATGGCACAGCCAGACACTCTTTGTGGTTAAGTATGTGAACCGTGTAATCTACAAAGGGGCAAAGTTAGGTGCAGGTTCAGAATAAAGGCTTTCAAGTAGCTAAATCTTGCCACAAGACGAGCAAGCAAGAGACATCCTGAATACACGACACAGTAGCAAAAGCAAAATCAAGATAAACAGTGTGAGGAACAGAGGAGCCCTCCACCCAATCTGGGGAGAGAGGCAGCATAAAAAAAGTCAGGCACAATAGAGGAAAATCAGAAGACTTAAGACAAGCTTATTTTAACTTCTCTTTTCAAAGAGCTTTTGGATCTCATCACCATCACCTCTATGACTGTAAGCCACTAAGGACCATAGCCAGCTAAATAAGTGACATCTGTTTCCTGGTACTGGAAATTTATTGAGCTGCATACCCCCAGCGTG